AGTTATGCATACTAAATAGGCACAGCTAATTGAGAGCTCTTCAATTAACTACAATAAGAACGAGTTGAACAAATAGAGATTATACTACGACTCAATTATATAAAGACATAACAAGAATTTATCCTACAAAAGGTTCTATCAAAACTTTAGATAACAAATTAGCTATTCATAATAGTATGTAAAACTACAATACTAAAAGTCATAACCAACAATGAAAAATAGGAAGAGGAAAGAAAAAACTTGTAGAAGAATTCCCAAGCCTTGCTCCTATAGTGTCTCTGCCTCCTTAGGTCAAACCTATGTCAAAAATATGTCCACTAATTTTCTTGGTCGGCTTCCTTGGTTTAATATAGGGTTTAGGGCTTAAAATCCCGTGTTTTGTACCTTGGTCCCTGAAATTTACGCATCCTGCCGCGGTTCCACCGCGATCGCGCCAGAACCGCGGCCAAACACCCTCTCAGATTCTTCAGTTGTCCGCGATTGCCCTCTGCCGTGGTTCTACCGAGGTCGCGGATTTTGACCCTGTTCCGTTTGGAATTTTGAATAACGTAAAACATGGAAGTTGTAGCTCTTTGAGTTAGCTTTCCAACCATATATTGTGGAGCCCAAATGGAGTTCTGAGTAAAAAGTTATGTCTATTTTACTAGACAGTGCGCAATATGCCTCTTCGAGTTTTCGTTTTGTTGTTTTATCATCCGTTGATCCCCGAACGCGATCCCGGCTTAATTCCTTGAGCTCTTACTCAGACTTCAAAGCTTCAAACCACTTAAATTCATTCCATAACATCTATATAGCTCGGAATCATACCTACAAGGCATAAAACACACAATTAGTGCAAAACAGTAGCGATTAAAGCGCAAACTCAACTAAAGTGCAGTAAATTAAAGTGTAATAATCGACTAAAATACGTAATTATAACCTATCATCAATTATATGTATATTATTGGCTATTTTCTTTTGAAGTGGCTAAAAATATATATTTCTCTTTGGGTGATTTGTACAAATAAAATATTTTGATGCCACTATTGGTGTTTTGACTGCTCAGAATTTCAAATTTAATAATTATTATTCCTCGCTTGCGACTTTTTACTTTAAAGGTTTGTCGTGGGGTAAGTGGGAGTTAAACAATAAAGATTATCCATTTTAAGGTCATCGATGTAATTTTCCTAGTTTAAGGCCCTCTATATTTGGTTCAGCCCAAGCAACATACAACTTCTACAACTTTATAGTTTCTATTTTCTACCCTAGAAGACTTGCAAATTACGTACCTTCCTCCTGAAGAAATTGTAAATTGCTCCTTTTCGTACTTTCATCATTCCGTATTTCATCTGAGATTGTCAAATGCAGTAATCCAAAGGTCAGTTCTTGCTATTCATTTTTCTCTTTTGCTGGAAATCTGAGTTACTCAGATGTGAATTTGTGCATAGTCTTGGAAGAAAATATGATGTAAATAAAATTACTTCACCTGATCTGTTGATTTTTATCCAATTACTCAAAAGGTCTTCGAATTAGCTTAAATCTTATTGATTTTTTTTTTTGTTGTATAGTTCTGGATCTCTGAATTTGAGGGATCTGAACGTTGAACCTTCTTTTGAGCATATCTAAGATAATTGCGAATCATTCCAGATTTTCTTTTTCTATTATGTTTTAAAGTTATACTGAATATTGTGATTAAAATTTAGGTTATCCTGTTTTCTTAAGTTTTTCCGTTTGATTCTATTCTGAATACAAGTTATATTGGTATGCTAGAGATTTTACAATATCTGAATTTCCTGTACCTTAATTCCACCCAAAATAATTGAGCTTTCAGTGTAAAGATAAGTGTGAGATTTAGACAACTCGTAGTGTTAGAGAATGCCTAGTCTTAAAGCTACTACATTATTGACTATTGAGCATTGGAGAGAAATGAGTTTGAAAAGGGCTGAATCAATATTAAGGATACATATGGCCAATCCAACTAGTTTGGGATTGGCGCTTGGTTGGTTGATTGATATATTTTGATATTTGCAATGACCTTTACTTTTCTTTTTTCGGGGAAAGGGATGTGTGCTTCTGGTATTTGTAGTTACAATATTTTTCGAGTTCTTGATTGCCAGAAGAAAAAGAATTATATTTCTTTAGTCTTAACATACTCCTAATATTCTTTGGATCTAATAAGATGATTGGTTTTGGCTCGTGCAAAAGATTGAGCAATTTTACTGATATTGATTAGCTTGTGGATCTTTGATTTATAGGGCACAAGAACAAACATGGAAGGATTGTATTCTGAGTTGGAGAATTTTGTTCAGACAGAAAATATGTTGGATAATGACCAGTCGGTGGAGGTTGAGGACAGTGGGTCGGGGGGAAATAGTGAATTAGATCCAGAGGTATCACCATTAATTCCTGGGCTTCCTGATGACATTGCACTTTTCTGCTTGGCAAGGGTTCCTAGAAGGTATCACGCGCTTCTCAAATGTGTGTCAAGAAAATGGAGAGACTTGGTTTGTGGTGAAGAGTGGTACTCCTACAGAAAGAAACATCATCTCCAGGAGAGTCGGATTTATGCCTTAGGTAGAGACAAGTCTGAACAGCTGTGCTGTTATGTATTGGACCCGACTCGCTTAAAAAGGGGATGGAAGCCCATTCTAGGACTTCCGCATCGCTGCATAAGGAGAAAAGGTGTGGGCTTTCAAGTGTTAGGGAAGAAACTATTCCTATTCGGTGGATGTGGCTGGATCGAAGATGCTACTAATGAAGTCTATTGCTATGATGCTGCCATGAATAAGTGGAATCAAGCTGCTTCCTTGGCGGTTCCAAGGTATTTTATCCTTGTTTTGCTTGGTAGTATTTTGAGTTTTGTAGAGTCAACCTGTTAATATTCACTTGCCAATCAAATTTTTTATGACTTCAAATTTCTAAATGCTTGTATGTTCGTTTTCCTGAGAACACTGTGTTTCCTTTCTAGGATCTTTAATCTTTACAGGAATCAGATTTTTTTTGGCACTTATAGGTTAGGTGATGGAAGACTTTTAGAGCAGGCATTTCCGTGCCATGAGAAATTCATGTGGCTCGTTTGCTAATTCTGGTTTTACATCACTGTGATTATTGTTTCCTCCGATGCAGGGGTCTCTCTCCTTTGGTGCATTTATATCGTTCTATAAGTTTTCATGGTTATTGCCATGTAGCCTCACCCTTATCCTACTGTTAAGAATACGAATCTACCATTTGAGCATTTTTCATATTGTTGTATTCATTCAAACTAGCCTTCTCGCACTTCATCACTGTTTGGCCAAATACGTCAGAGCTTATTTGATTCTGTTATTTTCAGGTGCTACTGTGTGTCTGAAGTGTTTGATGAAAAAATCTTTGCAATTGGGGGCATAGGGCCTAATTCCAGTAATTTACCTTCCTGGGAGACTTACAACCCGGAAACAATGAGTTGGACTTTGCGTGAAAATTCCAACATTTTTCCTGATATTGAAGATTCCATAGTCTTGGATGGGAAAATTTACATTCGCGGTGTTTCTTCACCTCTAACACCTGCAGTGCCTGCATTTTTCTTTGAACCTTCTAGCACCACATGGCAGCCGGCAGCTTTTGACTTAGCGTCAGGTTGGCATGGTCCAGCAGTCGTTGTAGGCGGAATGCTTTATGTGTTAGATCAGTCTTCAGGTACCAGGTTGATGATGTGGCAAAAGGATATAAGGCAGTGGGTGGCAGTGGGGAGATTGTCGCCCCTATTGACAAAGCCTCCCTGTCGGCTGGTGGCCGTTGGGAATGACATCTTTATTATTGGGAAGGGGCTTAGCACTGTGGTATTTAATGTTGAAAATGCAAGGAACATGGATGGGGTGTTGATGAGCACTTCCATTCCCAAGTCAATATCTGATGATGATGTAATAAGCTGTAAAGCAATCACAATTTAGGTCTAGGAATATTAAATTGTAACAGCTTGCTGTGACTTGTTATGTTCTTGGCTTAATGGATTTAATACATTGTACAATTTTTGTCAGGTCGACTAGTATCTCTTCATACAATGCTTGACACTGAATTTCCATTAAAGCATTTAAGATTTGGTGTGGAATTGTCTTCATTCTGATTATACTTGCTTATCTAAAATTGTTTAGCAATTGACTGAAAGAATCTAGCAGATGACATGTTAACTAAGCACCATTTGGCATGGCTAACATGAGGAGAAGATAAATATCAAGGGCTCTCTTTAGGGTGGCACTTGCGAGCATCGTAGAAGAAAAAAACAAAGGTTAAATAAACGAAGGAAAAGAATAGCATGAATGCAATATATGGCCATTTGGTGCCAAAATAAGTTGTCAAAAGTGGAATATATGACTCGGATAGCCAAAAAACAAACCAAAAACCATCCTTTTCAACAATTACACAATCAGTTTATGCTCATGTCAGCTTCACAAAGTTTTATACTGTTACGCCGAATGCAGATCTTGAAAATCTTCTAGATTGTGAGCTAATATCATATTAATCAATCAACTATGCCTTAGTCTCAAGCAGATTTAGCTAGCAGAGGCTCGTCAGCTACTCCTTTTCCTTTTAAAGGTAGGATGTATGACTCCGTTGCATGATTGTAGTTTATCAATCCTTGCCATACAATCCTTCATCCTATTTAATGCAACGGGTATAGCAGAAGCACTCTCCAAATTCTTCTTTTTAAGGAGCTGTATTTTCTCAGCTTCTTTCCGGTCCTCTCCAGCTAACATGGCAATATTAGTTGGTCCTCCAACATCTGTAAACAGACCAGGAAAACAATTACAAACAAAACAAAGAGTTACTGAAAATAATCAGTGAGCTTTTAACTTAGGTAGACAATCTTTAGACTGTCATATTAAAACTTTATACAGAAAAGGTGATGCTCCTAATAACGTCAATATTAAACCCTAATGAGAAGATTTGACTAGGGTGCATTTAGCACTCATCACACTATGTGTATATTTCAAGCCTTGTAATTCTCAAACATAGGATGGACATGACCATACCAAACTGGAAATAATACTAGAATACTACCCCTTGCGCTCAATACCTTTTTCTGTGAGTGGTCGTGAAATGTAACAATTTATTTGGGACAGTAGGTGGAACCAGACTGTATTCATTTTTGTCCTAAATCATTTTTTTTGATAAGGTAAATCATTATTGCCACAGCATATGCCGTTTTTGATGTTTTTCATTAGTCTCAAAAGGTTACCGCTTACATAGGTTTTTCTAGAATTATGAACATGGAAGAACTTGCTATGTGAAAGAAGTGAACAACCCAAGAGAGATATCGAGCAACCATTCATTATTCCTAAAGGTGCAGTCCACAGGGCTTTGGTTCACAATATGTTGGGTTAATGGCATGTCACTTCGAACCCTGCCATGGATAAAAACCTGATATTTAAGTGGATAAGTGTAGAGGGGCTGAGCCATTCACGATCGAGTTTTGAACCGTGTAAGTAGCTCGCCCTCGGAGATTCCTCAATTATCCAAAAAACAGTACAAGGGATAATCATGGTACCATCTACACAATGATTCAACAAGTTGGAGAAAAAAGAGATGGTAAGTTTCAAAACAATGATGTTAATCCAAGATTCCTCGCGAACTATATTTTCCTCCAATCCAGTGTGGCACATTCATACAGTGATTTACTACATTCCTGAAGATCAAAGCTTTAACCAACCTACTTTCCAGGTTAACTATTCTTATAATGGGTACATGCTAACTAAAGAGTTTAACTATAAGAGAGCTTTTCATTTAAAAAGAAGTATAAAGAGACAATTTTGTATACAAACAGAGCCACCTGATCCTCTTTCAAAATCATTCATGATGCTATTCTCCCCAATGTGCTTTGAAATTTTTTTGACGAGAGGTTTTGGCTTTCACCATAAACATAGAACTTGAAGAAAGCGTGTTGCTCAATTAATTGGTATTGCATGTATAGATCATTTTGTTCCATTACCCCTTATTTTTCACCTGGTTTCCTAGGATTCCACAAGATTGTAAGTCTTTCGAGACATGTGACTTCACATCTACCTCGTCTGCTTTTAATACCTTTACTCATCATAATTCCACTAATATTATATTCCATCGCATTTACATCTAATCAAACACCACAAAATGACTTGAAGTCAGAAAAATGGTGTTCTTAGCTATTACTATCAAACAACTCTGCTAGAATCCCAAACTGATTAGGGTTCATGCCGCTCTTTGCAGCTTAATAAATCAACCAAAATTTGGGCCTCTATTCACCTGCTTTTATTCTACACTAATATTGTGCCAGAAAAAGCAGAATGAGCTCATAAATTACAACATATATTCAACAATTTCACCTCCAGATAAAGAAAACTAAAATAAATTGAGTATCACAATTTTACTACTAGTAGTCCTACAACGTTACTGAGCAAAATATATATTATTAAAACATTATGCATTTGTAATTTCACAATAAATGAGAAAACCAAGAAACGTACCGGAGCTGCAGGGATCACTAGAGGGCCCAGATTGAAATACGGATCCGTCGTCAAAACGGGTCTCCAAAACGGGTCTTTGAGCCGCAAAAATGGAAGAGAGCTTAGTTTCAAGCTGAGCAAGAATTCTGCCCCGGTACTCCGCTATTCTCTCAGCCTTTTGCTTAACTTCTTCCTCCAGTAATTCTACCTCTTCCACCAGTGTTCCTGCTTCTTCCAGTTCGGTTACGTCATCATTTTGCTCCACGGTTTGTGGCTGAGCTTGACCCAACATAGTAGAGTGGGGATTGGTCGAGTTTGAAATGAATTTTGAGGATCCCTCTTTAGTTGGTACTCCTTCTCCTTCCCTTTCTATTGTGTAACTTGATTGGTTACACAAATGTAACAAACACTTTTCAATCTTAGATTAACATTCCAAAAAAACTTTTGGAATCTTGTGTATCATTAAAGATAAAAAGAAAGTATTATAAAAATAATTATTTTTTAAAACACATCAAAATTATAAGTAAGACACACAAATTAACCGAGATAATATAACTTTTTTAGTTTTTGCAATTATAGTTGTGAGAAGGCACAAGAGAAAATATGATATATATTGATATATTGTGTGTGATGCAATACAAGAGGTGCTATTTATAGCTACTCTATACAAAGGGGATACTACTCCTATTCCAATGTGGGACAATTACATAGCTATCTCTAACACTCCCCCTCAAGCCGGAGCATATAAATCATATGTACCGAGCTTGTTACATATATAATCAATGCGAGGACTAGTGAGGGACTTGGTGAAAATATCTGCAAGTTGATCATTCGATCTCACAAACTTCGTAGTAATATCTCCTGAGAGTATCTTTTCTCTGACGAAGTGACAATCAATCTCAATGTGTTTAGTTCTCTCATGAAACACCGGATTTGATGCAATATGAAGTGCAGCTTGATTATCGCACACAAGTTCCATCCGACTGATTTCACCAAATTTCAACTCCTTGAGCAATTGTTTGGTCCAGACTAGTTCACATGTTGCCATAGCCATTGCTCGGTATTCTGCTTCTGCACTAGACCGAGCAACTACATTCTGTTTCTTACTTTTCCAGGACACCAAATTTCCTCCTACTAAAACACAATATCCAGACGTAGAACGTCTATCAGAAGGTGATCCTGCCCAATCAGCATCCGAGTACCCAACGATCTGCTCATGACCTCGATCCTCAAACAGTAATCCTTTACCTGGAGCCGATTTTATATACCGGATAATGCGGACAACTGCATCCCAATGACTATCACAGGGAGAATTCATAAACTGACTTACAACACTCACAGGATAAGAAATGTCGGGCCTAGTCACTGTGAGATAATTTAATTTACCAACCAGCCGCCTATAGCTTGCAGGATCGCTAAGCGGCTCCCCCTGTCCAGGCAGAAGTTTAGAATTCGGATCCATCGGCGTGTCAACAGGTCTGCAACCTGTCATCCCTGTTTCCTCAAGAATGTCTAACACATATTTCCTTTGAGAAATAACAATACCTGAGCTAGATTGAGCAACCTCAATACCTAGAAAGTACTTCAATCTGCCTAGATCCTTAGTTTGAAGTGCTGGAAGAGATGCTGCTTCAGATTAGTAATACCATCCTGATCATTGCCCGTAATAACAATATCATCAACATAGACTACCAGATAAATACATAGACTTGAAGCAGAGTGGCAATAAAACACAGAGTGATCAGCTTCGCTACGAATCATGCCAAACTCCTGGATAACCGTGCTGAACTTACCAAACCAGACTCGAGGAGACTGCTTTAGACCATAAAGTGACCGACGCAAGCGACATACAAGGCCACGAGACTCCCCCTGAGCAATAAAACCAGGTGGTTGCTCCATATAAACCTCATCCTCAAGATCACCATGAAGAAAGGCATTCTTAATGTCCAACTGATAGAGGGGCCAATGACGAACTGCAGCCATGGATAGAAAAAGGCGAACTGATGCCACTTTAGCCACTGGAGAGAAGGTATCACTGTAATCTAGCCCAAATATTTGAGTGTATCCTTTGGCAACAAGACGTGCCTTAAGTCGATCAATCTGGCCATCGGGACCAACTTTGACTGCATAAACCCAACGACAACCAACGGTAGATTTACCTGAAGGAAGAGGAACAAGCTCCCATGTACCACTTGTATGTAAAGCAGACATCTCGTCACTCATAGCCTGTCGCCATCCTGGATGAGACAATGCTTCACCTGTAGACTTAGGGATGGAAACCTAGGACAATGAAGATATAAAAGCATAATGGGGAGATGACAGACGATGATAACTCAAACCAACATAATGAGGATTAGGGTTTAGTGTGGTCCGTATACCTTTTCGAAGTGCAATCGGTGTACTAGGAGCAGGATCCGCAGTAGGAGCCGTGTCAGGTGCAGGACGAGAACCAGATGGGCCTGATGTAGGGCGCGAACGACGATGATAAGTCAAGAGTGGTGTTCCTGTGGCTGGGGAACTAGGAGGGATAACACTGGACTCCTCAAAAGTTGGTATGGGTGAAACCTCTGTGGTTGAAGGTGGAGGAGGATTACTAAACTCCTCAAAAGTCGGTATAGGTAAGACCTCAGATATGTCATGGTGGTCAGCAGAAGTGACATCAGTTGTGAAGAAAGGTTTAGACTCGAAAAATGTGACGTCAGCTGACATAAGGTACCTATGAAGATCAGGTGAATAACAACGATATCCCTTCTGAACACGAGAATAACCAAGGAAGACACACTTGAGAGCACGAGGAGCTAACTTATCTTTCCCCGGGGCTAAGTTATGAACAAAACATGTGCTCCCAAAAACCCNAAACAAAACATGTGCTCCCAAAAATCCGAGGTGGAAGAGGGTATAAGGCTGACTGGGGAAACAATATTGAATGTGGAATCTGACCCTTGATGGGAGATGAAGGCATCCTATTAATCAAATAACAAGCTGTGAGAACTGCATCGCCCCAAAAACGCAGCGGAACACGAGACTCAATTAGAAGTGTGCGAGCAGTCTCAATAAGGTGCCTATTCTTTCTTTCTGCAACCCCATTTTGCTGAGGGGTACAAGGACAAGATGTCTGATGAATAATTCCATGAGAAGACAAACTGTTGAAACTGAGAAGATACATATTCTAAGGCATTATCACTGCGAAAAATGCGGATAGA